TAAATATTATATATATATATATATATATATATATATATATTAGTCATTTTTTTTAAACACTCTTTAAATTTAAATATCCAACAAAAATTTGCACAACAATATGCTAAGAGACGTAGTTTAAGACGTGTTATTAGAATGGCTAAAGATGCGTTTCACCATAAAAAAAAAGATACAAATATTTTTGTTTCGATGCTGTTATATGAGTGTATACATCGACCATACCATAACAAATTACAAATAATCGAATTAAAAAACTATATTCTATATTACAGAGTACAAGTCACGTATTCCACTATAGAAATGATCAATATCGACACAAATAGTCACATAATGTAGATTAAACTAATATTAGATATACATAAAATAGTCCTTTGGAAAAAATTCTAAAGCTCTCTATATCCAACGAATTTGATATTTCAATCTTTGATATTCCAAAGCATATGTAAAATGTCCATCGGAAAATATTTCTATGACAAATTGTTTATTGACAACAAATATATAAAACACGTAAACAAAGACAATATATCCTTATTATATAATGAGTATTGATGTTTTTACAATAATTTTATATTATTTTTTAATCCCATATTAAATAAATAAATTAATTCAATTTTTTAAATTATATATCAACAAAATTTATAAAAATATAATCAAAATATAATAAAGAATCATCTCGCGCATCGCGCGGGTACTCAACTAGTTATCCCTAACAATTTAGTCGACATCTTCAATGAAAATAAAGACAAATATAATCAAATAAAAATCTAAATAATATATAAGATTAAGATCAAAATGAGTTTTTGTATAAAGATGGATCAAAATAAATGTTCTAATTGTATATTCATAATGAGTTCTTTTATAAACAAATGAAAATTAAGAAAAATGTCACATAGGATGTTTAGGTGACTTCGCCATCAACTTTTTAATTTACCGTAACAGTTTTCATTTAATTATCTTTATTAATATTATATTTATTATTTATGATAAATATTAACTTTACTATTGTATTAAACCAAATCATCATTAACATGTGACGACTTTAGAATATATGTTTTGTGGTTTTAGATTTATTTGGATAATAGGTAACAAATATTTATTGAAATTTTATTAAGTTAGATTTACAAATGTACATAATTGTAATATAAAAAAAAAATCTAAATAGGATGAGATGATTTCACCATTTTTTTATTTTTATTTTTATATTATAATATAAAAAAATTATTTTCAATATATAAAACTAAAGTTAATTTTTTTACAAAAATCCTATTTTTCATGTGTAATATGCAGTGGTACTCTAGTTGTACCACTAATTAAATAACTAATGAGAATTTAATAGCCAATGAAAATTAATTAAATTGTCATATATATTATGACATGGAGATATTTGGCTTCACCACAAATGTTTAAACCTAAGAGTGGGTATTTCGGTTCGGGAATTTTGTACCGAGCCGATCCGTCCTGAAATCGAACCGAACCGAATAACGTTTGGTTCTAATTTGGTACACTTTTTATAGAACCGAATGAACAGTTCCCGAACTGAACTGAACCGTATGAATACCGAAAAATCGAGTCGTATGAATACTGAACCAAAATTCGAATATTCCACTAATACATGTGTAAATAACATAATTTGGTACTTATTTGTTATTCATATAATGGTACCGTTCCGAACCGAACCAATACTAAAACCGAACCGAACCGTTTAACATTCGGTTCTAGTTTGACACACTTTTTATAAAATCGAAAATACCGTTTCCGAACCGAACCGCTTGAATACCAAACCGAAACCCGAAACGTCTATCCCTATTTAAACCTTATTATTTATGTATAAGATTTAGCAAAATCTTTCTTCCATAATTATTCATTTTCTTACTTCCTTTGATCATTAGTCAAATTTCTTTCTTTACGATTTTCCTTGCCATTTTTCACAGATTCTTTCGTCCATATTAAAATCTTTCTATATTTCCATAGATTTATATCACTTTTAAGCATTATTCTCTACCTTCTTTTACATTATGAGATTCCTTTTTCTCGTTTCTCTGATTTTATCTTTGTTACCTCCCTATCAGGCTATATATTTTTAATACTAAGAATCATATGATTGTATGACACAAATATATATATGTATGTCTATATCTATATATCCACCGAGCTTTCATGTGGTAGAAAAAATAATTGAGATCAAGAACTCTCACTCCCAAAACCAACTCCAAGGAAATTATTCCACCTTCACCATGAGAGAGGATCATGAGCTCGAAATCATCGGTGAGAAGGCAAAACCCTGTTCATGTATAAACCTACAAGTTTGAAATGTTTAAAAGGATAAATATATATCTCATCAATAATATAAGTATAAACCGATTTTTTGCATTTTAATTTTTACCCTCCCTTTGATTGCCAGATCAAGAGGACAAAGAACAGAATCCAACAGATCAGGAACAGAGGAATTCAGACAGTATCAGAATATCATCAGTTCGCCCATCAAACACTTACAGACGGTGGCTCTGGGTTGCAGTTTTAGCTTTCTTCGTCATCGCGGGCCAAACAATTGCTACCCTCGTGGGCAGGCTTTACTTTGACGGCGGAGGAAAGAGCTCGTGGATGCAGACACTAGTTCAACTTGTCGGTTTTCCAATCCTGCTTCCATTTTACTTCTTCTCACCTACAAAAGAACACGAAACAACTGATTCAAATGCCAGACAGCCTTCACCCGTGAGAGCCGTATCAGTTTACGCAGTGCTAGGATTGCTTTACCTAGCCGTCTGCTACTTGTACTCAATCGGGCTGCATTACCTGCCAGTGTCTACCTTTTCCCTGATCACTGCATCTCAGCTAGCCTTCAATGCTGCCTTTTCCTACTTCCTTAACTCGCAGAAACTCACTCCTTTCATCCTGAATTCCGTCCTCATCCTAACCATCTCCTCCGCCCTCCTCGCTTTCAACAACGAGGAAACAGATTCTGCAAAAGTTTCAAAAGCAGAGTATATCACAGGGTTCATATGTACCGTTGGTTCTTCTGCTGCATATGGCCTTTACTTATCCCTTCAAGAGCTAACCCTCCGAAAGATCTTGAAGAGGGCAACTTTCTCGCAAGTTATGGAGATGATAATCTACATGGGTCTGATTTCTAGCTGTGCTTGCATGATAGGTCTTTTCGCAAGTGGGGAGTGGAAAACTTTAACCCATGAAATGCAACAGTTCAAAACTGGGAAGGTGTCTTACATCATGAACCTGGTCTGGACGACTGTTGCTTGGCAGCTATTCACCATCGGAGGCACGGGGCTGATCTTTGAGCTTTCGGCTCTATTCTCAAATGCGATAAATGCCGTGGGCTTGCCTGTGATACCTATCCTGGCTGTATTCATTTTCCATGACAAAATGAATGGGTTAAAGGTGATTGCTATGGTCTTAGCTCTTTGGGGTTTCGCTTCCTATGTCTACCAAAACTACCTTGATGACAAAAGAAATGAAGAACAGTCATGAACCTGAATAAAAAGTTCACAGATTAATTACCTTTGATTCCTCACCAGCTTTAATCTGTGTCAAGATGAAGAATAGGCAATGCATTCATGATGCAACCCAGAGGAAATCTCAGCGAAGAATAATTCATCGATGTAATAGGATGTCTTACATGAAATATGCATTATATATTTATAGTGTAGACTTGAAGAAGATTGCGCAAAACGCATTGTAAGCACACAGTCCAACGGACTGACACCAACAGTTGTTCTTCCAAGAAGTTACATTTCAAAAGGAAAATAATAAATTGTCTAAAATAGTAACTAATCCTCTATTAAGAGAATGTAAGGGAAATCCTAGAAATAAAACATGGCAGCTTGTTTGTAGATATACCTCATGACTACTACTTATAGGTGTGTAAGTAGAATACCTACATCAGGCACCCAACATAACGCGCTCGAGGATACTTCCTTTGTAGGTGTGGCCATTGAACAAAGAATTGATCAGCCATCCTCAATTTATAAAGAAGCAAGCCGCTTAGTGAGAGCTTCTTTACTCTTGCTACACTCTCAACATAAAAGATAGATGACCATCTAATTCCCAAGACCTGTAACCAAAGTTGAAACAAGCAGTTGATAACTTCCATATAAATATGAAGAAATCATGTTCTTTTGAAATGAAATCAAAACATGCTCTATGTTTTTGAAATGAAATGAAATCATGTCAACTTGAGGTCATAGGGAAGATAAGGGAAATATATGAAAGATAAAATATTCTGGAGGGAATAAGCACATACTTTGAACAAGAATGCGATTACGCACAGAGGAATACATGTACCAGGACCATTGCATAGAACCTGAAAGATTTGCAATCTTATTGAGAATGGTTAACGCAGGAATTTTACAGAAAACATCGAAAAAGAAGTAATACCACTTCCGGTCTGATTCTAATCATTAGCCACAGAGCATGAACTATAGCAACGAGGGTAGTCCAAACAGAAGTCACATAAGACTGACCAACTTCTCTGCTCCGGTAGATCTGCATGAACTGTGAAGAAGTTTCCTTCACCCCAGGCATGTCACATCCATATCACGGATAAAGAACATATTCAATCATTTTGTTGAACATATCCAATCTAATGCTGACGTGGGTAGAATCAATTGTGTAACCCAAACAGAAACTGCAAATAACAATAAACTATAAGCTAGCATCAGCAATGAGCTGTACCTTCTCAACAAATGAATCTTCGAAAGCACGAGCTTTCTGGATACTCATATTATCTGTCGCCGCAGCAACGTAAAACCTTGGCTTAAATCTATCCTTCTGCAAAACAGAGAGGAGACTCAACATCTCAGCCGTGTGTCCCCCTGCAGAAGAGAACTCATATCCAATTATGTTATGTAAACCGAAAAAAAAAATACGAAATCAAATTAGCTCTCCTTACCAGAACCTAGAACAATGAGAGTAGTAAAAGACTGTGAAGCTCCTCTGCGAAGGGGTTTTCCGCAACAGTATATAACATATAAAACTCGAACCCCAAGAATGATTGCCAGGCTCAATAAAATGAAAACAGCACTAAAGATAGAAGCCATCTTCGAGAAAAAGCAGCAGCTATCTTCCACCATGATACTGATAACTCTTTCTTCTCTGTTCAAATTACATCTGCATGACAAATGTGTTAAAAATATAAATCCAAAGCTTCCACATAACTACAGCAGTTTATGAAATGAATCACCACATAACTACAGCAGTTTATGAAATGAATCATTCAAATTCAAAATATCACTTGATACAAAGAGGAAATTATAGGAAAGTATGCATTACTAGATACAAAAATTATATCATATCGGCTTCAAACAAAATCAAATATGAGCTACAAAAAAACAAATAAACCAGTCGAAAGGGAAACATGCACAATGAACAAAAATTGAATCACAGAATACAAATCAGATCTACCAAATTTGCCACAACCAAAATTGACTACAAAATTCAAATTTTGGGCCTTTGCTCTAAAATGGAAACTAAAATCCTATGCCACAAAGGACAAGTAAAAGAAAACAAAACATTTAGAATCGATCTAAAAGAACCGAAAAGAATGAATCTTTAAAGCAAAACTCGGAGCTTTTCCTATAAACTAACATATTACTATCTTCATCTGGAATCCAAATTCAATCTGCCATATGACCCATTCGATCAGCAATCAAACCTAAAGAACACCCCTAAGCTCCAAACCCGAGATCATTAACCCTCAAACATCAAAGAAATTTTCCATACTTCACCCTATCCATTAATACAGTTCGTGAGAGCAACAGAAGACGCATCAGGAAGTTATCAAGATCTCGATCAAACGAATCAAGACTCAAGAAGAAACCGACAGACCGATGTCGAAAAGCTAACTCAGACATCGTTTCAACAAGACAAACACACCGAAATCGAGGACACCCATTCAACATGCCGGAAACAATTGCAGCTCGAATGAACAACAAACACGGAGAAGGATCGACCAAGAAAAGGCGAGATAGGATTCCAACTCCAGAAAAACGTCTCGAAATGTCAACAAGATCAACAAAAAAGAGAAACTCGGAGAAGAAATTGTGATCAAAAGCAGTATAAAAATGTAGAAGTCACCCTTGAGCACCGCAACAGAATTCTCAGTGGCCTCGACCACGGTGAACGATCACGCCGGAGAGCCTCCGGAGAAGTAAATTGAGCGGCGATTCTGGCAGAAAGAAACCAAGAGACCGACTATCGCCGTCGAAGAAATGGCGAGGGCGAGAGATGCGATCGATTGGGGAGAGAGCAAGAGTTTTATGGGTTTTTGTAATTTCTATACTTTAACCGGGTTATATAGGTAATTTAGTCGATTTAAACGTGCAATCAAGGCATGATGATGAAGCTAAAAAAAAAAAAATTGAACAGTTATTTTTTTTTTGATATACTCTTATATAATAAAAACATATTATGAAAAACTGATTCTTTTAAAAACATGTAAAACGTTTTCGTTTTTTTAAGAATATATTCTCAAATTTTAGATTCTGGAAAAACTAAAATAAAATTTTATATATAAAAACTACAATAAAAAATTATCATAATTTAATTATGAAAAAATAAATAAATTATAAGATTAGAAAATTGTTTCTTTCTTTATTTTCTTTGAAGTTGAAGGGTATAATATGTTACTAGAGGTGGGGGAGGGTCACTCAAAAGTCAAATGCATTTAAATTTTTTATTTGTTTAATTTTGCTCTTGATTAATACAGATAAGGGAGATAAAAAAAAATATTTCTATTGTATCATAGACCTATTCATATATATAAATATTTTGTACTAAAATATTCGAATATTAGATTTATCTTATTTCAAATATAACGTTTATTATTGTATAATCTACTTTTTTCTTAGTAAATGTTTACATATACAATTCGCGAATATCCATTCAATTCCTTAATTAATTCAAAAGAAAATATCAATAATTTAGATTGCAAACTAAAAATAAAATTATATTAAAAATTAGTACTAAACAGTATAAAAAAATTTCCAACATATCAATCGACAATACAATACAAACCAATTACATATAGATTTAGAAAACGATTGAACATAGAGATTTGTCTGTCGTTTACTTCTAATGGGTTGTGTTTTTGTATTTGTTTTAAAAAAAATGAAAACCCAACAATATATTCTTTGAGAACGTTTGCGACTATGTTGAATCACATATAAAAAAACGTGATTAAGGAAACCATTAAAATTGAAAGAAGAATTTCGTGCTTAATTTAAGTTTTATTCATTTTCAAACATTAATCTAAACATTTTCACCAATAAGTTTATGAAGATGAACACCGACAACTATGACTACATCATATCATATCGTAACTTTGTCGTTGCTTCACTTGTTTGTAGGAGGAGCCGCCGCATTTCCCGAACAGCTGCTCTTGAGAAGCTGAGGGAAGAATGGAATCATAGGAAACATCTTTGGCAAACAGTTATCCTCTATGGCCGAAAACTCTTTGCAACACATCGGACCGATATGTCCAAAATACCCCGTGAAGATCGATGTCGTGATTTCCATCAAACATCCCGGAATGTTGATGAGAGATGACCAACACTTCGTGATGTCAATCGGAAAACCGGGCGGAAAGATTCCGGGGAGATTCGGAAGTTGTTGCGGTTGCTGCACCTCGGCTAGACCCAGCCTTACCGAGCAAGTGACGCATAGAGCCACGACTAATACCACAGAAAAGAGAACTCGAGACTTGTTTTCCATCTCTATGGAATTTAACCGAAACTAACAACTCCTAGTTTTTGTGTTTGCTTTTTTTTTCCCTAATGAGATTTCAAGATAACAGAGCAAGTGTTTTTTGTGGGATGGCATGAATAGAAGAAACATGGAATTTATAGGGTTAAGAACAATCAATGTAATTATAACAAAAATGTTACATCGTTACATTTAACTTTGAACGGTTAAATGAATATTGAAGTCTTACAAGTAGTAACTTCCATTGATGTTAAATCCGAAAATGGCTTAATGACACCCTTTTAACTAAAAAGTGTTTAACGCTTGATTAACAACTTGAATGTGTTTTTTGACTTTATGCCATGGGTTACATTATCAACAAGCCATATACGAATACATGGATTAATAAGAAACTGAAAAAAAAAAATTATACGATTGTACAGCATGTTTATTATCTTTTGGTTTAACGTCTGTTATTTTGTTTTTGAGATTTATAAGGACTACTTTTATGTTCATTTTGAATTTAAGAGAGAGAAAAAAAATAGAAATTAGCTTTAACAATTTTCAAATTCAAAATTTAAAAGAAACGTTGTCTTCTCCTATCAAAATAATTTACAACATTTCAAAAACTGGTAAAATGAAAAAAAAAAAAAAGGACGTAAACTTAGGGTATCAATTTGGGGCTGAGGTCCGGCCCGACCTAACCCGAAAATTAGCGGGTTTCGGATTAAGTTTTTCGGCCAAAAAAAAAATCGGGTTTCGGACTCGAGTCAGACCGGTACGAAAGTCCGATATTAAAAAAAATTACAAAGAGATTTATACGGGACCCGAGTCTCATATATATAGGGCGAGACTTCAGACTTAACTACTTAGGCTCGAAAAAAATCAGGTCGGTCCGATCCGATTGACACCCCTACGTAAACTTGAGAATTACTGTTTTTGTATTTTTTTTCAAGTTGTAAGAGTAACAATTTAATGTTTATTATTAAAAAGGAATTAACATTATTCAAATTTTTATGAACCCATATAAAACTTTTCATAAAATATATTTGTTATGTTATACTTAGGGCTTTGTTGAATAATATTAGAATATAAATCTGGCTTAGTCCAGTTTGATTTGTATTATTGAATCTTAAGAACGAGTATTTATATGTTGTACAAATTAAACACCGTTAAATTAGAATTATATTCTGATAAATCATATGCGAACAATGTTTTGTCTAGGATGGTTTATAAAGAAAATTTTGTTAGACCAAAAAAAATTTGAAAATTTTCGAATCGTAATTTATTTTTATTAAATTGCAAATAATAAACTAAAACCACCAACAATAGAAAAATAAATAAAGGGCAACAATTAGACTATATATCATATCGTAACTTCGTCGTTGCTTCACTTTTTTGTAAGAGGGGCCGGAACATTTCCCGAACAGCTGTTTTTTAGAAGATCAGGAAAGAATGGAATCATAGGAAACATCTTCGGCAGACAGTTATCTTCTATCGCCGAAAACTCCCTGCAACACATCGGACCGACATGTCCAAATTGTCCCGTGAGAACCGACGTCGTGATTTCAATCAAGCATCCCGGGATGTTGACGAGGGATGACCAACATTTTGTGATATCAATAGGTAAGATATTGGGAAGATTCGGAAGTTGTTGCGGCTGTTGCACCTCGGCTAGACTCGGCCTTACCAAATCAGCGGCACATAAGGTTGCGACCAATACGAAAGAGAAGAGAATTCGAGATCTGTTTTCCATCTCTAAAACAACACAATTGAAGCTAATTGGCTCTGTTACTCGTGTTTTGTTCTTCTGTAGTGAGATTGGTATCAATAGTGGAAGAGACATGAAATTTATAGGGCTAAAACTTTAAGTTTACAACTGATGTTACACGTTACATTTGAAATGAAACAGAGTTAACATAGTGTAAACGCCTTTGAAGCAGTAAATTAACTTCAATGGATGGTTGACTGTAGTGTAAACGCCTAGTTAAAGTGGTAAATTACCTTGAATATACGGTTGAATAAATGTTATTTGGGTTAATTTAAAATCAGATCTAATCTACAAAAAATTACTTTTCCAGAATTACATTAACCGAAGCGAGTACCAAATACCAACCAAATTGAAAAAAGAAAAATCTGAATCGAAAATAAAATTTAATCTCTCCCTATTACATACATACAGAAGCATTAGATTTGGTACAAAATCTTTCACAAGGAGACTCCTCTAATGTTCTTACAAGTACACTGAAACAGTACAAGCAGACATATCCATGCCAAGTTCAAGGAAAAACCTTAACTGTTACAAAAGCAGAACCAGCTTTGTCAAGTTTACAAGATCTTTGTCAAGATTCAAGATGTTTTTTGCAAGTGTTTCTGAACAAGTGCTTCGAGATTCTTCGATTTCTCTTCTCTATCTTTGAAATGTACTCTCCTCCCATGCCCTACAAAAGAAAAAAAAAATCGTCGTTCAGAACCGTACAACGAGCTATTTCCCGATACTGATGGTCAATACACTAACCCGGTAAAATCCATTGGAAATCTAGGTCGATCAAGCTCCGGACATTCTCAAGCTGGAGGGGAACTGCCAGAGATAACAAGAAGAGCATAAAGGTGTAAACTTTTTTGTTTATGCATCAATTCTTCAAACCCTTGTACCAAAGTGTACGTATTCAGTTATTTGATCTTACATGAGCCATGATTATACTGCTCGAATATACTCATGCCATTCTCCGTCATTGCTAAATGATCTCCTGTGAACAATACCTTGAGCGGTTTATGGAACAAGCACACCGATCCCTGCATTATAAAAGGAATTTAACCGAAGCTAACAACTCCTAGTTTTTGTGTTTGCTTTTTTTTTTCTAATGAGATTTCAAGATAACAGAGCAAGTTGTTTTTTGGGATGGCATGAATAGAAGAAACATGGAATTTATAGGGTTAAATACAATCAATGTTATAACAAAAATGTTACAATTGAATGTTTATTATTGAAAAGGAATTAACATTAATCAAATTTTTATGAACCCATATAAAACTTTTCATAGAATATATTTGTTGATGTTATACTTAGGGCTTTGTTGAATCATATTAGAATATAAATCTGGCTTAGTCCGGTTTGATATGTATTACTGAATTTTAAGAACTCAGTTGTACAAATTAAACACGACTTAGTTAGAATTATATTCTGATAAATCATATGCGAACAATGTTTTGTCTAGGGATGGTTTATAAAGAAAATTTTGTTAGATCCCAAAAAAAAGTCGAATCGTAATTTAGTTTTATTAAATTGCAAATAATAATCTAAAACCACCAAAATACATTAGAAAAAAAAAATAAAGGGCAACAATTATACTATATATCATATCGTAAGTTCGTCGTTGCTTCACTTTTTTGTAGGAGGAGCCGCAACATTTCCCGAGCAGCTGTTTTTTAGAAGATCGGGAAAGAATGGAATCATAGGAAACATCTTCGGCAGGCAGTTATCTTCTATTGCCGAAAACTCCTTACAACACATCGGACCGACATGTCCGAATTGTCCCGTGAGAATCGACGTCGTGATTTCAATCAAGCATCCCGGGATGTTGATGAGGGATGACCAACATTTCGTGATATCAATAGGTAAGATATCGGGAAGATTCGGAAGTTGTTGGGGTTGTTGTACTTCGGCTAGACTCGGCCTTATCAAACCAGCGACACATAAAGCTGCGATCAGCACCAAAGAAAAGGCAACGCGGGATTTGTTTTCCATCTCTAAAACAAGACAATCGAATCTACGTAGCTCTTACTCGTGTTCTGTTCTCCTGTAATGAGATAGATGTTTTGTTTCGGGATGGTGTAAATAGCTGAAGAAACACGGAATTTATAGGGATAAAAATTCGAGTTTATATCTGACGTTACACGTTACACTTTGAAGCAGTAAATTGACTTTGACGAATGGTTGACCGTAATGTAAACGCCTAACTACGTGGTAAATTAACTTAAATATAGAGTTGAATAAATGTTGTTTGTGTTAATAAAGAAAAATCAGAATAGAAAATAAAATCTCACCAATATTCTCTTCTTATTTTTACATGCAGAAGCATTGGATTTTGGTACGAATCTTTCACAAGGAGACTTCTCTAATGTTCTTACAAAGTACGCTAAAACAGTACGAGCAGACATATCCATGCCAAGTTCAAGGAAAAACCTCAACTCTTACAAAAGCTGTTCTAACTTTGTCAAGTTTACAAGATCTGTGTCAAGATTCAAGATGTTTTTTCCAAGTGTTTCTGAACAAGTGCTTCGAGATTCTTTGATTTCTCTTCTCTATCTTCGAAATACACTCTCCTTCCATGCCCTACAAAAGAAAAAAAACCGTCGTTCAGAACCGTACAACGAGCTATTTCCCGGTACTGATGGTCGATACACTAACCCGGTAAAATCCATTGGAAGTCTAGGTCGATCAAGCTCCGGACATTCTCAAGCTGGAGGGGAACTGCCAGAGATAACAAGAAGAGCATAAAGGTGTTAACTCTTTGTTTATGCATCAATTCTTCAAACCCTTGCACCAAAGTGTATTCAATTATTTGATCTTACTTGAGCCATGATTATACTGCTCGAATATACTCATGCCGTTCTCCGTCATTGCTAAATGATCTCCTGTGAACAATACCTTGAGCGGTTTATGGAACAAGCACACCGATCCCTGCGTTAGAAAAAGGAATATGAAATATTGAGCTTATGACCGATCTCCAAAAGGCGAAAAGTGAATAGATATAGCAAAACACATCAAGATATTAATTCAAACACTGCGATCTCCCTAATCCTTGTATGAATGCATGAAACTTCAGGAACATCTAGGGATGAATTACAGCGATGAACAACACTTCACATTACCTTATGTAACACTAAAAGATTGAGTTAACTTACTTCTGTGTGGCCGGGAGTGTGTATAAGCATGATATCTTCGTACAAGGTCCATGGTCCATCACCTTCCAGCTTTTTCTCCACATCAGAGGTCGAAGATCGAACCTAACGAGATGGGTTTGTCAATAAAGCTGGGTTTAGTCAAGAACAGATTTCTTTCTAGCTATTCTCCAGACGCATTTCTCCCCATCTAGAGTTTAACGGAAGGGCGTGATAAATGCAAGCACTTACATCTCCAGAGTGAAGAATTCTGGTAGCCTGGAATCGGTTTGCCCATTTCTTGTGATCTGCAACATCGTCTCTGCACAATCATGTAGATATGAATGTATATGGAGCATCAAAGAAACTAACCGAATTTTCTCCGTTTATAGATATCGACATTACACATGAGTTAGAAATATGTAGCGGACACCACCCAACATCTCGATTTTATGAGCAAGCCTCTCTATGTACCGGGGACTGCAGAAAACATAAAGCCTAGATAAGCCGGGTATGTCCAACTAATCGCTATGATGAAGTATTTTCGATAACCTTAAAAATGCACAAGGGATTGGACAATGAGAGTATACGCATCACCACGTAAGTATACGTACCTATCAACAAGTATATTTCCGTCGGGGTGAAGAATCAAATAGGAAGCCGCTCCATATGATTTCTTGGAATGAAATCCACAATGGTAGATACCCTTGAAGCATTTTACACAATTGCTAAATGAATTAGGAGGACATGTGGAAAATGGAGAGTCGGGAAAACAACAAAGAACATATACGAACATGGTAGCTCGGAACTTTCAAAGGAATTTACGCAGATTTGAATTCACAATTATTCGAAATGTCAAAACAGAACCAAACTGATTGACTATCCAGATTAATAGCATGCCAAGAACAAAACGGAAGTGAAACGGGAAGAAAATACCGGAAGTCTCTCTTCATCTACTGGAACTGGGAAAGTGTCTTGAGCTCGTAGTATGTCGGTAGGCGGTGTTTCTGTCCGGATAGAGCCTGTCGGGCACGAAACTAAGGCCTGACAAACACCAAGATTTGCCAAGCCAGTCACGGATAGTCATCAATAAGCTAATGAGCTAAACACCGAAATCTGTCACACAATTTCAAATGGTAGGAGCATTCATATTACCAATTTCCATTGCTGGACATTCCAGAGACAATTTCCATCATTGAACATGATGGACAATTCTCAGATATAACAGAACCGATTCCAGAAAACCATTAGAAAAATGGGGAGAAAGATCTAACATCATAAAAGTTGACAGACCTGAAGTGCGTTCAGCCTTTCCTCCTTACAACTCGGCTGTTTGATCACGGCGGACATACCGTCCACTCGGGTGAATACTTCCTGCGAAGATGAAGCACGAAAGATTACATGAAAGGAAGGTGTCTGAATTCGGGCAAATCCAGGGAACTAACAATCGATCTTACAGAAACAAACTAAAATCCTGATGCGGATCTTAAAGAAAGGAAGCTAACATTCTTTAACCCAAAAAAGGAAGAGAGGAATTAGCCATTTTAAAGTAGCAAAGATTACAAGGGTTTATACAAATTTCGTAGAAGGAAGACTAACCGGAGCCATCCAACGGCATGTATCACAATCGATACAGCTATTATCTGCAACAATTCAATCAAAGTGCGTTATGGGTATTGACTATGCCTCGCATATACACACATACGTAGACACGGATGAGCGATTAGTACCAACGAACAAATCGCCATCGACGTTCTGAGTGCGTCTGCGTCTTGGGCTCTCATGGATTTGAACTTGAGCTGCTTTGATGGCAGAAAAGGCTCTGTTTCGGACAAACACCGAGGAAGAAGAATAACAAGAAGAAGAGAAGGTCCATTTCCGAGAACGAAAGTGATGAGAAAGCAAAGGGAAGACAGAGGAAGACGAAGCTGTCGCAGCCATGGCTAGTGTCTGGATTCTCTCTCTCTCACTGATTTAGTGTGGGCGATGTTTTATTTACATGTCCTTTTTTTTTTTGCAGATTTACATCTTTGATTCGTATAGAGCCGTAAGGCGCACGGGTGTTCAATCCAAGAAGTATTAAAAATTGCAGAACATTATTAAAGTTGAAAAGTGATTTTACCAAAAAGAAAAAGAAAAAGAAAATGTAGAATCATAATTACAAAAACTAGACAGAGAAATTAAAATGTATTTATACTCGTACAAAAATGAAATTAAAAAAATGGTAAATTAAAAAAGAGAAGGAGACGCATAATATTTATTTATTGATTGATTATTCTGTTTCAAAATTATAAAAAACACAAGCTTTTTTTTATTTTGGTGATAAGGTCACAGATTTTGGAGAAGAAGAAGAAGAAGAAGAAGGGTTGGGGAAGGGAGGGCAATAAGTCATACATTGAGCTCTAGTGTCATAGCAGCCGTAGTCTCTGCGGGTCATGCAGCACCAGCAGTCACGCTTCAGCCATGACTCGCACCTCCTGTGCCCGCACTGTAATAACACTATCTCTTCCTCCCCTCTGCCTAGTCATGATTATATATATATTAACAAAAATAACCGGTTAATCATGATTGGTTTAACCGGTTAGTATCGGTTATTGGTGGATCACATACATTGGTGGAGAGCGATGAGAGCAGCGAAGGCTAGGCAAAGGAGACCCATTTGAGATGCCATTGTGATTGTACCACTGAAAATATTAATGATTATGGTGTTTTGCAAAGCAGCAGCTGGTTACTTATATAGTAGTAGCAATCCCCCCC